AGACAAAAATATTGAATACAAATATTAATAGATAATTTTTTGTGTTTGATATACACTGTAAATATAAAATATATATATATAAAAATATAAAATAAAAATATAACGCTGTTTCAGTCTTTATACTTCAATTTTTTAAATTCATTCCATGTGTTAATTGTTGTTCCTTTATTAGTAAAATCTACTTGATTTACAATTAAATTTTTTTTCGAAGTAAATTCTACATCAGTTTTTTTGTGTGTAGTTTGGTTTTAATGCAGTTATGTGGATATATAATGAAAAATCCTAGCCATAAATATATAAATAATAACATTTCATATTATACAGTTGAAGCCTTTTTCAATACCATTAAGAATTTTTTTATTTGTGTTTGGATTTTTTTTACAAATGACAATTAACACATTTAAACACAGTTCTGTATGTCAGGGTTTCCCATTATATTTAATAATAAATACCAACAATAAGAAATTTGTTTTGTTTGATATAGACTTTAAAAAATGTTTGTTGTTGTTTTTTTTGTTTTTTTAAATTGTGAGTAAAACAACATTTATTGGAGTATGTTTTACAACCAAAACAAATAGCTTTTCTACTTCAGAATTTCCCATTTCACTCTATGTCTTACTTTCCATTACTTTGTAATTAATTGTGAAATTTACTGACAATTTCTAAGTGAAAACTGTTTCAAAACAGTTCTTCAAAATCCTTCGCTAACGCTTTTTGTAGCTTGGTTTTGATGTTATGTAGATGTGAACCAAAAAATTTAATAAATTTGTCAATAAAATGATTTTATTTTATACTGATCAGGGCCTGTATTCACAAAACATTTTATCTTACCACTAAGAGTTCTTCTAAATAGCAGTAAAAGTTTTTAGCTAAGAGTTTTCTCATAAAACCTGTTCACAAAGCTGCTGAGACAAACGTTTACTAAGGAATAGACAGAAGTCTTAAGCTCAGAGTAAGGGGGCGGGGCTGACCTCGTTGCTATGGATGATGTCATCAAGCTTATTAACTATGCACACAGTGATTGGCTGATATTCTCTGTCAGAGATTTTTTCATAGAAATATTGTAGAGCGCAATGTTATGTTGCCATATTCAAATAAAAATGTTAATTGCCACATTCAAATAAAGATTTTAAAATGCAGGCTAAGTGTCACTAATTAAACAAGTAGGCTATATATTCAGCTAATTCTTAGCCTCTTATATGTATGCTTCTCGTAAACAATTAGTCAATATGCATTAGGGCTGCCCTCGACTAAAGGTTTTTCTGGTCGACTAGTAGTCGTTCATTTTAAGCATTAGTCGACTATTAGTCACACTTTTATTAATAAACCATATAAATCATAATAATGAGCCTTTAATTGCCTGCATAGCCTAATAAGTGCTCAAGCGCATGCAAAAAAGGATTGCCGGCAAATATAATAATTGTGAATGTGTTAGGGAAAAACAGCAAGTACACTGCATTAACATTTTAATAATTGATTGTTACTCTAGTGCTTTCTGTTTTCGGTTTAAGAGATGAAGTCGGCGACACTGACTCGTCATCTCTGCAGTATGCGCCTGTATGCATGTTTCATACGGATTACATAATCTGAGAATATTTGTTTTCTATTTGA